TTTGAGAGGGGAGAGAATCAAAGCGTTCCTGATTGGATTTTGGCAAGAGTGACATATTCTTAAACTTCCCTGGATTTCTAAAGGTGGTAAGATTCTGCTAAATGCAGGGCACTATGGTCTGAATGTTTGTGTCACCCCATAATTCATATGTTGAAACCTGATGCCCAATGTGATGGCGTTAGGAGGTAGTGCCTTTGGGAGGTGATCAGGTTATGAGGGCTCTGTCCTCATGAAAGGGTTCCCAAAGAGGTAGCTAGCCTATTCCGCCATGTGAAGTTGCAGTGAGAAGATGCGGAAGCAAGAACCTTACCAGACACAAATTTGCTGGTGTCTTCATGTTGGACTTCTACGCCTCCAGAACTGTGAGAAACAAGTGTTTGTTGTTATAAGTCACCCAGCCTAAGGTATTTTGTTATAGCAGCCTGAACAGACTAAGACACAGAGATAAAGAAAGTGTGCACCACAGTCCGTGTTGCTATCTGGGGGAGTTCCCTGCTGGGTGGCCAGGGGATGAAGTTTGGTACTTTGTACACAAACCTAGGTGTGTAGTGCTGGCACTTTTCAAGCAAATTGAGATTTGTCCAGGTGTATTTAGATGGTCCCGACTTTGAGATTTTCTGCATGTCACCACACATACGCGTACTGCAGAAATGTTTGAGGTAATGGGAAACAAAATCAGTGGTTGCTAGGGTTTCAGGGAGGGAGGGAGGGAGGCATGAATAGGTGAAGCACGGAGGATTTTTAGGGCAGCAAAACTCTACTGTAATGGTGAACACATGTTGCTTTGTTGCTTCACCCCCCATGGATTTGTCACCCCACTTCCCCTGGGTGATGGAGACGCAAAGGATTACTCAAAGCCCATCTCTTCTGAGCAGTGAGAGGCCCCGAAGTGGTTAACTTCCCTTAGTAATGCTCAAGTGAGAGGCAACCCTTCCTCAGAAAATTAACCATGAATTGGTGTTCTCTTCCTGCATTTATGTTCCAGACCAGGAAGTTACAGGAAGAGACATAGGTGGGGTTATAGTTTAACAATATAGGCTGATAACTTTCAGTGAAACAAGCCAGGTGAAATTCCAGTGAGGCAATTAAGTGCTCCTAGCAACACAAGCTTGATCTTAGCAAACATTCCTTCTCCCTCCAGCAATTTTCCAGTATCTTTACATTTCAATCAGCAACTAGTCTGTCCTTGAGCCAGCAACTTTGCTGTGCCACAAATCTTTATCTTACACCAGAGACTTTATAGCCTGAGGAAAATTTCTAGTCTTCCACAAGGTCAATATTTGAAACTGCAAGGCTTTGGAAAACCAGGCCCTGTGAAGTACATATGCTCTATAGTATATTCCACAAACACATACATTATGCACTTGGCAAAACCCATAAACTGTACAATACAAAGAGGGAACCCTACTGTAAAATTAAGTTAATAACAATATATCAAGATTGATTAATAATTGCAACTAATGTACCTCACTAATGTACCATGTCAATAATAGGAGAAATTGTGTATGCATGTGTGAGGAGGGTATGGGAACTGTCTGTGCTTCCTGCTCAATTTCTCTGTAAAACTGAAACTGCTATAAAAATGAAGAAAAGACAAAAAAGTTCATGAAAAAAATAGAATTAAAAGATATTACGAATCTGTCCACAAACTTTCTGGAGATTCCTCATACAGCTTTCTTCCTTTGCCATATTGTCTCAGGCCATGACACCTACTGAGGCTGGAAGGAAGTATTGGTAACCATGACCAGCAAACCCCTCCAAATGTACTGGTGTAAAGATTGTACCTTAATCTGCATTTCCAGAGCATGAAAATTTCTATTACTCTGTATCTTATGTCATTAAAAAACTAAATAATCAAACCAGGTGGGGGGTACCCCATTTTCCATCCCTCCCCCAACAAAAAGGAATGTAGAAAACTTACAAAATAAAGAGATTCATGTACTCATGTAAGGTTGTGAGAGAGATTAGTTGCATCTAAGTGACATGATAAACACTAGGTAAAATTGTAACTCAAAGATTTGGATAGCATTATCAGTTGAAGGAAATGTCATTAGGAATCCAGTTACAATACACAGAACTCATCTCTTAAAAAGAGTGTTCATCTGTGGCTCACACAGCACTGTCATGGGGATATGAAGCCCCTATGCCTTGTGCCTTGGTCTCACCTCTCTGACCTTTAAGTACCTATACTGTGGTTCCAAATTTAACCCAGCAAACTTAACCTATCCAAGAATTTGATAAATGTTTATAAGACTGATTTATTACATTTTCAGGGTTGAATAGAAGTTAAGAAAGATTTTGCCTGGTAGGGTTGATTGCCCTGTCAGGTATTTAAAATGCTTTAAAATATGTATATTAAATGCCAGATAGTTTAAAATATTAAGAGCATGGACTCAGGTCAGCAAATGATGGCCTGCTGCCTGTTTTTACACAGTCTGCTAGCTAAGAATAGCTTTGACATTTTTAAATGGTTGAAAGAAAATCCAATTTTAAATGGTTGAAAGAAAATCAAAAGAGGACTAATATTTCATGACAAGTGAAAATTACATAAAATTCAAGTTTCAGTGCCTGTACAAAGTTTTACTGGAACACAGCCATGCTCATTTGCTATGGCTGCTTTCATGCTACAACAGCAGAGTTGAATAGTGGCAGCAGAGACCGTATGAAATGAAAAGCCAAAAGAAGTGTACTGTTTAGTCCTTTACAAAGCTTGATGGCCCTGGTCTAGGTTCAAATTCCAGCTTTGTTATTTATTAGTATAACCTGGGGCAAGTCACTTAACCTCTCTGTGCTTCACTTTCCTCATCTGTAAAATGGGGATTATAATAGTTATTATTAATAGTTATTACAAGGATTAAATAAGTCAACATTTGACAAGTACTTAAAACAATGCCTAGCACAAAGTCAATGCAATATGTGTCTAAAAATTGGAGGAATTTAACCTGGTAAGCTTGAATTAACCAAACATTAATTAAGGAATAAGTACAAATTATTGTACTACTTTCATGTATAGAATAAGAATTTAAAGTTGAACCCGGATTAACAAAATATAGGATTTCAAATCTGGAACTTCAATAAACTAAATATTAAACACCAAGTAACTCTATTAGTTCTTTCCCAGCATCTGGGACTGTGAGCCAGGTTCTGTGAAGAATCTATGGTCTAAGAGATCAAGGCTCTCCAGGATTTAAAAGCAAGGCTTCTCTAAGACTGGGAGGCAGGGTTGTATAAAGATAGGTACCTAGAGTTACACTTGGATTAAATTTTGACTTCCTAACTGCCTGATTTTGGTTAAGTCTTATCTGTAAAGTTGGGCTAGTGACACCTATTTCATACGAGTATTATGAAGATTAAAAGCCCTAATGCACATAAAATGTTTAGTGCAATGCCTGGACTTTAGAAGGCATTCAATAAACATCAGTTGTCACTACCGTTCTCCAAAGAGCTGGGCACGTACTGAGATATTACTAATCAGGTGCTAAACTCCTAGGAGAGCAGAAGTTTATGTGTAGGGTGTGGTTTGAGTGATAGTGGGAAATCCTCTCTGCTTGCCTTGATGTTCTGAAATTCCACCATATCTTATGCTTTCAGTTAAACATTGCTCTTTCTGGGGATCCTCTTTTTTAAAGTATGCACATTCCTCCTTGGTGTGGTTTAGTTTATTAGGTACTAGTTATTTTCCTCATGATGGCAGCCTGAGAAGAGTGGACACCCAAGGGCTAGGATTTATGTTCTCCAGAAGAAAGCGGGTAGTGGGGTCAGGGTCTCTGAAAGATGGTAAAAAGTAAAGAAAAGGAGAAATGTTAGTCAATCTTCTGGTCTGCCCTGCCATTCTATTCACCTGAAGTGTTACAGCAGCTTATCTTCCCAGGGATTAATTTACATAGCTATGCCCCTGTGGTACCTTGGGCCTCCCACCTTTGAAATCTACAAGACAGCCAGGAAACAGGACTGGCCCAGGGCACCACCTCCTGTCCACCTGCCTCCTCTCCTGTGCCCTGGGCTGGGATGGTACTTCTGCCTTTCTGGCACTACTCCATCCTTGCTTACCTACCAGCAACCCTGAACCCTTCCTGCCCTTCTTCTTGACACCAGGATTCACTGGGTTTTGGAGCCAGGTGAGATATCAGGGTTTGTTTTCCAGTGACCTTGAAGATTGATACCAGATCCAATTCTCTGGCAGATGGTAGGGCCTGAGGCTTAGGTTCATGTTCCGTGATTAAAAAGCATTTCTTGCATCATGTCTGTGTGTTCCCAGCCTGGAGCTGTGGGAATAAGGCCACCATGATGACCTTGACCAGTGGTGGGGCAGGAAGGAGAGGAGAGGAGAGGAGTGACTGAATCAGTATGCACCTTCCATATATATTACCAACTTCAGGTCTCGGGATGCGGTGGACCCTATTTTAGTCTCCGGAATTTGTCGTCATCCAGTATTACTTTCCTCATCACGCAGAGGTGGCAGAGGGACTGGGGGGCAGGATTGTGTCTATGGAAACTGTGACGCTGTCCAGTTAGGGGCAATATGGAAGGGGGGTAGGCCTAGGAGCCTAGAAAGGGCCACGGATTTGGCCCCCAGAACTCCCGTGTTAGGGCCTTTCTCCTACCTGGGCTTGGGAAGATCAGCCAGCCACATTTCAGAGGGGGAGACTGAGGCCCAGAGAGGCAAGGAATTCCCCCCGTCACAATGTGCCCCCAGAGAAGAGCCAGGATGAGCAGAGCATAGAATCCCGTGCGCTTGGCTTTCCCCCAAAGCGCGGTTAGCCCTTCCTAGATCCATCCTTCTTTGAGCTTTCCATCAAACAAATCCTAACGTCTGTGACCCTTTTCAACGCTCCCAGAGCCAAGCCTTCTCCTTTAAGGAGCTTTTCCCCTTTAAGATCCACGGCTCCTCCCATCACGCTGCGTCGCAGTCTTAAGGCCCCACCCCTTCAAACAACTTCCGCAGGGCCTCGACAGCAGGGCGGCTGTCACGGCCCCTTTAAGACTGAGCCCCGCCCCCTCTTCTCCCCTCCCCCTCCAGCCCGCACCTAGTGCCCGGGCCGGTGGTTCGGCGCGGCGCGCTGCGGTAAGCGCAGGGCTCCGAGGGGGCGCGAGGACACGTTCCGGGTCTCCTTCCGCCCTTGGGGTGGCCTCACGGGTCCCGGGGGCGGGGCTGGCGCGGCAACTGGGGCGAGGGAGATGGGGTGGTCGGGAGCGCGGGAGGGATGGGCCGGACCGGCCGAGCGGAGGGAGGGGCTCAGGTGCTGTCTGGGGAGGGAATGGCCCCTCGCGGTGCTCACCTGGCGACGCGGGTGCGGGGGACTGGCTTTACGGTCAGGCGGCGATTCCACTCTTTCTTGCCCGGCCAGTGCCCCCGTCCATCCCGGTTGGTGAAGCGTCCCCCATATTCCCCTGGGGTCCAGATCCTTTTGTGGGGGGAGGCTGCTGGCTGGTCCCGCCCTTGAGACCGTAGTTGTGGAGGCCGCTGGAGAGGCCCCGGCTAAAAGCGGTGGTCTTTGAGGCAAGAGAGTACCGGCTCCCTTCGGACTCTTGGCAGAGGTGGGGTCGCAGCAAAAGGCACGAGGTGGAGAGGGTGGCCAGTGGTCGGCAACCTGGCCCGAGCGGGACTGACGTCTGCCTCCCTCCCCCAGGTACGGGCTGAGTTGTGAGTTGCGGAGGGGTCTGGCTTCGGGGCCTCAGTTTCAATTCTCTGTTCATCAGAGAGCTGGCGGTCACCATGGCAATGCGGGAGCTGGTGGAGGCCGAATGCGGGGGTGCCAACCCGCTCATGAAGTTGGCCGGGCACTTCACCCAGGACAAGGCCCTTCGGCAAGAGGGATTGAGGCCTGGCCCCTGGCCCCCGGGAACCCCAGCCTCTGAGGCGGTGAGTGTTCTTTTTGGGGACTGACCGGTATGGGGATCCAAACCCCTTGACCTTGGTGTTGTCAGCACCAGGCTCTAACCAAGTGGGCTCTAACCAAGTGGGATAACCGGCCAGCTTTGGTGAGTGTTCTTGAGGTGGAAAGCCCAAGTAGTGGGCTGAGATGGAGGGTCCATTTGTACATCTTGGGATAACTGCTTTCTCTATTGTGTTGCAACTAATAGTATTACTGCTTAATAAATGTTTACTAAACACTGTACTAAGCACTGTGCATCTTTATGTAGATGAAGGCAACCAGTTTATAGATGAAGAAACTGAGGCTCAGAAGGTTCCTGACTTGCCCCAGGTCTTAAAAATGGTAGAGCTGGGATTTGACTCTACCATGTTTGACTTGTGTGTCTGTGGTCTTCACTGCTGTACCATATTGCTTCTCTGTCTTTTCTATCTTAGGTCTCCAAGCCTTTGGGAGTAGCATCTGAAGATGAGGTAAATATACCAGTGTCTTTTCCATCCCGTTTTCTCTCGTCTATTGTGTTTTTACCTTTACAGTAGGTTCAGCCATATTTCAATCTTTGGACTTTCCTGATCAAATGAGATTTGCCTGCTTGTCTTTTAATGTATACTTTGTGTTTTCAAATCTGTGGGAAGAAAATTTCTCTTTCTTTATGTGTCTCCAGTTTCTGTGGTTTCCTTTCCTGGGATCTGACATCAGTATCCCCATCCAGCGGGCCCTGTCTCTTACTGGGGCCTCTTGACTGCATGGGTTCATTTCACCATCTCTCTTCTGACAGTTGGTGGCCGAATTCCTGCAGGACCAGAATGCACCACTTGTATCCCGCGCCCCTCAGACCTTCAAGATGGATGACCTCCTGGCGGAGATGCAGGAGATTGAACAGTCAAACTTCCGCCAGGCTCCCCAGAGAGGTGAGTCTAGAGTCTGGTGGGAGGGGAGGTCATTATTTTCTGTGCAGGCAGGGCCAAGAGGGTTCTATATTTGGATAGTGTGGCATTGGGGAACTCAGATACAGGAGACAAAAGGAACAGAGTGTTTTTACGTGCACTCAGGGTTCCTGAGGCATAATGGAATGATAAATATATTTTTTCTTCTTAGTTCTCTCTCTCTCTCTTTTAAGCCCCTGGTGTGGCAGACTTGGCCTTGTCTGAGAATTGGGCCCAGGAGTTTCTTGCAGCTGGAGATGCTGTGGATGTGACTCAGGATTATAATGAGACCGACTGGTCCCAAGAATTCATCTCTGAAGTTACAGGTGAGGCTTGTCATGGGAAAATCTATGATGGTTCCTCTGGCACAGAGTTCTATATTGTTCCTCTAATTCATCTTAGCAAATAGGGTGATTTCAGCTGCTTATGACTTTTCTGGCCTTTGACTCATCAGGACACTGGACCGGTTTTCTCGTAGGTCAACTGGATGAGATTTGGATATAGAGAGAGAAAAAGAGGAGTTAGGTCTACCTCTTTGTTATCTGGAACTTTATTACTGTAGTTTGGTGGAGAGGATGTACAGATGAGATGTATGGCAGAGTTGCCCAGGAAGAGAGAAATATTTGCCACAGCACCTGGCGATTCTGGCATTAAGTTATTTTGAACAGAATTGGGGCCTTGGAGAGTGTGATTGTGGAATTCAAGGGCCTGAAGTATATGGTTTTGGTGGGCAAAGACTATCCTATGATGATAATAATAAAAATAAACAGTAATAGCCATGTTCTAGGTTTTGTGTTAAGTGTTTTGAATGTATTATCTATTTAATCTTCACAAGAACTCTAGAGGTAGTTACTCTTTTTAGTCCTAATTTATAGATAAGAAAATTGAGGCTTAGAAGTTAAGTTAACTTGCCCAAGATTGACACAGTTTTGTAAGTGATGGTGTTGGACTCTAGGTTTGAATGATTCCAGACCTTGTGGGCTTAACTGTTGTGCTGTACGGGCAGGTCTATAGTTTATGCTCTTCTTTCTTGCTTGGCTACAGACTTCAAGGTCTCAGACTAATTTCCTCACTTTGAGAGCACCTGTTGCTTGCTGCGTCCCTGTGGATTGATTCTTCCTGTTTTAAGCCTGTCTGATTAGGGACATGGCAGAAGTGCAGTCTCTTCAGCTTTCTTCTTCCTGATTGGTCTCAAAAGTTAGCCTTTTTCCTCTTTAAGAAAGCAGGAATAACAAGAGGTACAGTTGGGGAAAATTACAGCGATTCTAGACTCTCAGGAAGGGCTTATAAGTTGCTGAATTTTTCTGAGATGATTAATGGGACCTAATTGGTTTCTCCCCTCACCAGTTTTATTCTCCTAAAGATAGGGCTTCCTCCACACACAAGAGAAAAACCCCAGAATCTGCTCACCTTTAATAAAAGCTATTGGTCTCTTTTTAAATTTTTATGTGGTGGCTGACCAGTATGGGGATCCCAACCTTTGACCTTGGTGTTATCAGCACCATGCACTAACCAGGTGAGCTGACTGGATGGCCCTATTGGCCTCTTTTATCTTCACTCTCTTTCCCAATCAGAAGTTGGAGTTAAGGTGGAACAGTAGGTGCTTTTGGGTTCATTAATAGTGCTAAGCACTTTATATTCTTAACTCATTAGATCTTCACAGTAGCACTTCTAAGGTGGGTATTTCCCCCCATTTTATATATGAGGAAACCTGAGATTTGGAAAGGTTAAATCCTTTTTCAAAATCATTCAAAGAGAGATGATGTTCAAACTCATGTCTGTCTGGCTCTAGGGTTCATACTTATAACCATTGCACTAAAATTGAGAATCTCTTCTGAGGAATTGCCTCAAGTTAATTGCCTCTGGTTACATATGAGCTGTAGCAAAGACCCTCTACCAGACAGAAATTCAGTTTTTCACACACACCTTAGACTTGCTGACACTTCTCACAGAGAGACGTCTCTTACAATGTATGGACATCAGTCATTTTTGGTAACTCAGGAAAAATATTAGTGCTACTACCATGAGCATTGAGATGGATGAGATATTTGTCATGATGACCTGAATTGCTTGCAGCCAGTGAAACTTTCCTTAACCTGTAAATGAAAAACAACGTCAGAGAAACATGTTGGATCTGTCTCTCCTGTTAAATCATCTTTGGAGAGCTCTTCTCTCCAAATGTTGCCTGTGAGAACTAGGGAGCAGAATCTGGATGTCATTGTTGAGTGCTCCTGAAATTAAGAGATAGAGTCCATGACCAAAAATAATGTCAACAATATTTTTTATTATATTAGTTATACATTACTTATTATTTATAATTAGGTATATTCAGAGAATCTTGATCCTTTGTCAGATTTTGACATTACATTCTCAGATTTTGAGATCACTTTGTTGAAATTATTCAGGCAAAGTCTTAGTTAATATGAAGTAGAAAGTTTTGGGCCGGCCCGGTGGCACACTGGATAGTGCGCCACTTGGGAAGCGCGGCGGTGCTCCCGCCCGAGGGTTCGGATCCCACATACAGACCGGTTCCCGCTCACTGGCTGAGCGAGGCACGGGAGCAACACCGAGGGTTGCGATCCCGTTGCCGGTCCCTGGTCCGGTACTGGGGCAACACTGAGGGTTGCGATCCCGTTGCTGGTCCCCGGTCCGGTACGGGGGCAACACCGAGGGTTGCGATCCCGTTGCCGGTCCCTGGTCCGGTACTGGGGCAACACTGAGGGTTGCGATCGGTTGCCGGACACGGAAAAAGACAAAAGACAAAAAAAAAAAAAAAAGAAAGTTTTGTTATACATTGTACTGAGGGAATAAATCTGCATTTTCACTGTTAAAAGCAACAACAGTCAGATCTTCAAAGTAGGGACAAAAACTGGGTGACCATTTTGGTATTTGGTTTGTGAAGACATGCATACAGAGCAGAAGGAAAGGACACTGCAGGCTCATGCCTTCTCTGTGTTTGCTCATTCTCTAGGGACTCTAATCTGCCTCATTGCTTTTTTTTTTTTTTCCTGGCCCCAGGATAGTGGAGGGTGAAGTCCGGCAGGTTGAGAAACAGTTCAACACCCTCATTCAGTTTTTTGCCTTGATATGTTTGTTCTGTTGTTGCAGCCCTTTGCCACTAGAGCTTCTAAGACAGTTTCTAGAATTAGACTTAAAAACATAGCTGCTCTTAAATAATCAAAAATGACAGAAGTCAGTCTTTACCTCTGGTGGGTGGAGGCATGAGGCAGCCTGTGAGGGAACTTTAAACGTTCTCTATCTTGATCTGGGTGGTGGTTATATGAGTGTCTTCATATCTAGGAATTAATTGAGCTTAAATATACTTAAGTTTGGTATACGTTATGTACTTTCATGTTTGTGTGTTAGAGCACAGTTAAAAAAACAAACATCCAGTGGGAAGAGTGGACCCATGTATCTTTAATTCTAGCCCAGCATTCTGCTTCTCAGGCTCTCTTGGTAGGCATATTAAGGTGAAGCGAGGCTCCTTTTGTTGGGACAGTGTGAACTCTGGGTAGAAGGAGAACAGACCAGAGATTTGGTTAAGGAGTAGGAGCTCTTCTGTTCTCCCTTAGCCTTACTAGTTCCCTGCAGTACTTTTGAGAAAGGTGGATGCCCTAGTGCTCGCTGTTTGTTGTCGGGATCTCTCATACTTCAAGCAGGAGTTTGGTTCTTAATCCTTTCCTGAGCTTCCTTATTTGTCACCTGTTCTCAACTCTTGGTAAAGTTCCACCTCAGGCTTCCTGAGAGTGGGTTGCATATAGAAGAAATGTTGGAAATTTAGTAGTGTTTTCTTTTGACTAGGGGTCTCTGAAGGAGTCAACAGAGTTTTGTCTGCTTTGGATTGGTTAAGAGGATCAGTTGAGTATATGTGTATTACTTTCCCTTGCCCTGATCCCACACCAAACCCTGTATGATTTCTCTAACTCTCTGCTCCTTGCAGACCCCTTGTCTGTGTCCCCTGCCCGCTGGGCTGAGGAATATCTGGAACAGTCAGAGGAGAAGCTGTGGCTGGGAGAGCCTGAGGGAACAGCCATCACTGATCGCTGGTGAGTCTAGCTACTTCTTTCTAGATCACCGTGAAAGGAGTGTTGGAAGTTTTCCCAGCCTCCCCCAACCTCTTCCATCCACATTCTTAAACCAACTTGCAGTCCCCTCTTTTTCTACTTTATTTTTTAAGGTTTCCACTTGTTTTATCCTGTATGAATTAATGTTTCAAATATAGTCAAGGTTTGTATCTATTCTACCAGAATTTAGAAATTTCCTTTATATACCCTGTTCCCTTTTTAATTTTGATCCTGCTGCTGTCTATTCCTTCTCTCTGCAAAGATGTGTTTGGGAAGGGGAGAGGTAAAAAGATAGTTAATACTTCCCCACTCCTGTCCAATGTCCTTATTAATGTAAATTAGAACTTGTAGGTCCTCAGCAAGAGAGTGGAGTATATCACCCTCTCTTTTCTCCCATACGAACTGTAATTGCCATGGGCTGAGAGTGGGGAACAGCATGGCGAAGGTGGTGGCAGAGTAATGTGTAAAATTAGTTTGTTCTTACCTGTTCCAGGAATGATGAATATCATCCTGAGGAGGATCTGCAGCATACGGCGAGTGACTTTGTGGCTAAGGTGGATGACCCCAAATTGGCCAGCTCTGAGGTGAGCCACATCTCCTGCTGCTTTGCCCAGCAGAGCTGGTCTTGGAAGGCAGGAGTCTTGCTTCTCTTACTCCACTTTAGTTTAAAGAGAAGGAGAAGAGATCCTAGGTCTGTTCCTTTCTGTTGGAGAAGAGAAACTTAGGATCCTACCTCTTTCTTCCAAAATTTCCTAATTTCCTCACCTACTAACCTTTCTCTTTTCTGGTGTCTTCTTAAATCTCTAGAGCCAGAAATCCCTTTCTTTTTGCTGTCTCCCTTCTTGCAGGGTCTTTATCATATCCTCTCTGTAGGTAGAGATGGTCGGGGGAGGGGCAAGTACAGGGTCCTCTTGGGCATGGTTGAGAGTGCACACCTGGAAGTCCTCTCCCAAGTGGCCTATGTGTGTCTCTGTGCCCCAGTTCCTGAAATTCGTGCGGCAGATTGGCGAGGGGCAGGTGTCCTTGGAGTCCGGTGCAGGGTCGGGCCGAGCTCAGGCAGAACAGTGGGCAGCAGAGTTTATACAGCAGCAGGTAGGACATTGTCACTTCTCAGTCCCACTTCAGAGCCAGTTGGTGCCCCAGACCTTGGGTTCAGTGTTCGGTAGACCCAGACGGGGAAGAGATTTTATTGCCAGCTTGTCTTGATAGCATCCAGGTCCTCAGTGGGTGGGAAAGAAATTCTGAGAATGTTCTTCTCAGAAGTGTCCAGGTTGGTGGTGTTTAGTGGGTAGAAAGTTGGTGGTGATAGTACTGACCATCTTCTTTGTCACAGGGTACATCAGATGCCTGGGTTGACCAGTTCACAAGACCAGTAAACACATCTGCCCTTGATATGGAATTTGAACGAGCCAAGTCAGCTATAGAGGTGAGAGCAGATAGTGCAGGAGCGGACACCCCAAGAGAAAACATTCCCTTACAGAGAGTGTGTGTGTGGTCCTGGATCATCTGTCACAATTCCTTGGGGTTGGGTGGGTACCTTTAAAAAATGCAGATTGCTGGGCTTTGCCCCAGACTGCTGAATCAGAATCTGGAGGTAGGCTCTGGGAATCCACATTTTAAAAAAGCTCTTCAGATGATTCTCAAACACATTGAAATTCAAAAACTACTGCCTTGGGTAATCCATCCTAGTGGAGCTGGGGGTGGGGTGGGGTGGTCATGATGGATCTCCTTTTTCTATCTGCCTTCCCTTCCTTACAGTCTGATGTCGATTTCTGGGACAAGTTGCAGGCAGAGTTGGAAGAGATGGCAAAGCGGGATGCTGAGGCTCACCCCTGGCTTTCTGACTACGATGACCTCACGTCTGCTTCCTATGATAAGGTAAGAACTCCTAGTTTTTCAGGTTTCAGAATCTCCTTCTTTATTATCTTTCCCTTAATCCCAAGTTTAAGGGTACTCACTTTCAAGTAGTTATTTTCTCGAGCCCCTTTCCATGAAAAGAAGTCTGAATTATTCCCTTGCCCCTGCTTTCCTCTAGTTGAGTGTGTGCTTTATTCTTGGGATGTAATGGTTTATAAGACTGCCCTTGTCAAACCACAACAAATACAGTGACGTGTCACCTATGAAGGAGGTTTGCACATGGTACATTAAGAGCACAGATGAAGTAGCTCTGCTTTGGAAGTCAGGTTGGGAATGTTTTGAGAAAATTGCCTTTTGGGTTTTTATACTGTATAGAGATGTAACAAGAACATACCTGTTTTCTTTTCTTTTTTTAAGAACATACCTATTTCAACATGAGTATACTTTTTATACATTTATCTCAAATCTATCTCCTATAATGTATCACTTTTTAAACCCCCATTGTAATTATTTAATTTTCATTTGTGACACATAATTTGCTTCTGATGATTTATCATGGTTTAGAACTTTGCTGATAGGATTTAACTATTCCTGATTCTTCATTAGTTTCACAAAATAATGATAAAGTGCCTCATCTCTTTATGATACACAGTTTCATTCTAATTTGTCCTTAACTACATATTTAGAAAGGCCCTGCCTGGTATTTTGTGTCTTGTTTTCATTCTGGTATATTGTTTTGTGATAAGTATTTACTCCTCAAAAGCAACATTTTATTTCCTAATCATTTTATTTTCTAGTCACTGGTAAGTCATACGGCTTACTAGTGAATTCTGTCTTACCTTATTAATTCTCTGCTTTATATAAAATGCCAATTGACGAGGTTTTGCAGATTGCATCATAACTCTTTTCTCAAATGAGAAATCCTCAGCTAGAACAGTGTCTTTCAGAAGTATTCTCTGGCCACCTGGATTTGGGGATCCAGCTTTCACTTACTATCAGATAAAGATTAATATTCATAATTATTAAGAATGAAATTGAAGAATAAATTAAAATTTTCAAAGTGCTTGAACATATGTTACCAGTCAATGCATGCAACGACCCTATGAGCTAGGTGAGAGTTACATTTGAATCGCAGGGCCTCCGATTCCAAATTGCATTTCCTTTATACATCATCAAATTATTGAAGTGTAACAAGAAATGCACTTTGAATAGCTATGGAATGTTTACCTCATTACTGTAAGGAGGTCCTGTTATGAAACGTGTTCTGTCCAGTGGTGAGAAGTCAAGGGTGTGGAAATGCAGGCCTGTGAAGACTTCCTAAATTCATCTTATTCCCAGCACGGGTGAGTTTGTCGACTTGCCTAGCTTTCCAGTTATTGTGAGCAGGAGATGGCAGCATGAGCCTGGTACCGAATAATTTCACTGTAGTCATAGACAGGCTTTATAACGTGGAGATTTTTGCCAGCATTTAATTCTGATACCTGTTTGGAGGCCTTCAGCTTCTCTATCTCTCTCTAGAATGTCATCCTACCTTGCCTGCTGCTCTGACCGAAATCCCTCTTAGATGATTTCTCACGTGCTTCCCTTCCTTGTAGGGGTACCAGTTTGAGGAAGAGAACCCCTTGCGTGATCACCCTCAGCCTTTCGAAGAAGGGCTACGGCGACTTCAGGAAGGGGACCTGCCCAATGCTGTGCTGCTTTTTGAGGCGGCTGTGCAGCAGGATCCTAAGCACATGGAAGTGAGTGACTCATTATTCTGATTTCAGATTAGAGACTGCTTCTTCCAGTTTTGAGGGAGGCCCCAAAGAGAATAGTGCAGATGGCTTTGGGCCTGGGTGATGGCCTAGGATAGCGGGTTGAGAGAGAGGTGATGACTGGGAGCCAGAGGAGAGAGGGTGGAAAGGTGAATACTGGGGTGATGGAATCTGTCAACTTCCCTCCAGGCTTGGCAGTATCTGGGTACCACCCAGGCAGAGAATGAACAAGAACTGTTAGCCATCAGTGCGCTGCGGAGGTGAGTACGCTGAAAGGTGGGGGTGAGGTGGTTCCAGGGCTCCACAGATAACCTTTAGAATGATAGGAGCCCAGATCCAGATCCTTGTCTTTTTTTCTGATCACCAAAAAGAGTGTTTTCTAATGATGAAACTCTGAGGTTTGGAATGAGTTGGAGATAACTGGTTCCAGTCCTTTGTAAGCTTTGGATTATATTTGTTGGACCCTGGTTGGTTCCTTGGCTGCTAAAACTTTCCCCTTCTCAGATCTGTAACTTTATTATTAACTCATGTGTCAGAGGATTCCTCTATATCTCAATCTGAGGAGGTTAGGCAGGTGAGGCCGTCATGACTCTGCATTTCAGAACTTGGCTTGGATTCCAGAGTGCTGATGAGTGCCAGTGTCATTGCAAATACCAAGTTTGCTCATCCCTGTCCAAACAGGTGTCTGGAGCTAAAGCCAGATAATCGGACAGCACTGATGGCTCTGGCTGTAAGCTTCACGAATGAGTCCCTGCAACGACAGGCCTGTGAAACCCTGCGAGACTGGCTGCGCTACACACCAGCCTATGCCCATCTGGTGGCACCTGGTGAAGAAGGGGCTGGTGGGGCAGGACTAGGTCCCAGCAAGCGTATCCTGGGATCTCTGTTGTCTGAGTGAGTGTGAGGGGTTCCTGGGATGCGGATTAGTAACCTGAGTCCCAGTAAGAGGGTGACCTTGATTTTGGAAGTATGGGTAGATTGAGACACACAGGTGTAAAAGTGGATGGGAAACTCAGGGTCAACTTGAAGGAGGTCTGCATTCTACAGTGCCCTGCTGGGAATGAAACGTAAAACCAGATTTCTAAATTGGAATTTAGGAGGGATGGCTGATAGATTGATAAATCTTGGGGATATGATTGACTAGTTAAGGAATTATTTGGTGGGTAGGGATATAGACATATCCATGTACCTACTTTTTAAATGTTATTCTTTTCCAGTTCCCTGTTTCTTGAAGTGAAAGAGCTCTTCCTGGCCGCTGTGCGCCTGGACCCTACATCCATTGACCCTGATGTGCAGTGTGGCTTGGGAGTCCTTTTCAACCTGAGTGGGGAGTATGATAAGGCTGTGGACTGTTTCACAGCTGCCCTCAGTGTTCATCCCAATGTGAGCCTCAGGCGAGGAGCGGAGATGGGACATGACTCTGTACCTTACTGAAGAATCGTTTGTGTGGACTTGTAGAATCACGGGCTGTTTTATTCTAGCGTTCCATGCACTGACTGCCTTAGGAGGATTGGGAAAAGAAGGGTGGGAGTATAGGATCATCTGGACAAAAGGGAGTCTGCATAGGGTGAGAGGGGTTACATTGTAGTCACACAATGAACTGTTGAGAACGGGTCGGGGTGCTGACACATCTTAGCTAAACAGTGAAGCCGGGGGAGGAGTGGGCAGAATTTGGTTTGAGCCTCGCTCACGTTCTCAACCCTTCTCTATCCCTATTCCAGGACTATTTGCTGTGGAACAAGCTAGGGGCCACCCTGGCCAATGGAAACCAGAGTGAGGAAGCCGTAGCTGCGTACCGCAGGGCCCTAGAGCTACAGCCTGGCTACATCCGGTCCCGCTATAATTTGGGCATCAGCTGCATCAACCTTGGGGCTCACCGGTGAGAGTGTCTGTTGAGTAATGACTGAATCAACTTTTTCTGTGTGCCCCTGGCCCCAGCTGCTTGTTCCCTGACCCGTCCCCTGACTAAGCAGCCCCAGCTTCCCTCCGCCCACGCTGGCCAGCCTGCCTCCTTCCACTGCTGTTCTCACCAGGCCTCATCCCTCCTCTTCCCTACAGGGAGGCTGTGGAGCACTTTCTGGAGGCCCTGAACATGCAGAGGAAAAGCCGGGGCCCTCAGGGCGAAGGGGGTGCCATGTCGGAGAACATCTGGAGCACCCTGCGCCTGGCGTTGTCTATGTTAGGCCAGAGTGATGCCTATGGGGCAGCTGACGCCCGGGATCTGTCCACCCTCCTAGCTATGTTTGGCCTGCCCCAGTGACAGTGGGATGCGATGCACTGTGAGTGTCTGCCCGAGGGGTCCCCACTCAGGATGTGACTCCCTCTCCCCAGATGGACCTACCAAGGGGGTGGGCTGATGACCATAAGCGGTACAGCCTTTCGGGAGCTCCCTCATTGTAGGGGTGGGTGGTCTGTGTTCTAGATCCTACATAATTGTAGGAAAATGAGCTGTGCTGTCTGAGTCCCTGGTAATTCAAGGGCTTGTACATCCAGTTACAGATCTCTGCTCATCATGCCCTTTCTTGGTGCTGCTTTTTGGGTAGGGCCTAACAACATAGGGTAACTGTTGTTATCAGCTGCCATTTCTGATTGGGTCTACCACATGTGTAATGTCTGTCCTTTCCCCCACGTTTACTAGGAATTGGTAATAGTCCAGCTTCCTCGGGTAGCTGTGTTTAAAAGGAGGTTCTCCTACTGTGCACCTCTCATGACGACTGTCCCTGGGGTGGTTTGTGTTAGGAGTTGGCCTGTTTGAAATGTTGGTTTGGCTCAGCAGAACTGAATTTTAGTAGGGTGCTCACAATGCTGTCGTTCTTGGACCCCTCCTGGCTGTGGGCTCAGATTCCCTGTGCATACGATGCTGATTCACTAGTGCTGGTATCATTATCATAGGAGTCCTCAGGGGCTGCCAGGGTCAGTTGCTTGAGAGAGTGTTGGGGGTGGGGTAGGAGGAAGGCTCATTTGTGAAGTGAGCCTGGCGGGGCTAGATGGATCAGATCAAGGGCTCTGAATTCGGGCCTTTGGTGGGAGCACAAAGCAAGTGGGATGAGGGGTGTGGTGAGTGCAGCAGTCCCTCCCCCTCTTAGAAAGGCCTGAGACTAGGAATTGAGCTAACTCTTCTAGAAAATCGATTCAGTAGTTGCAATCTTGCCAAATTCCTAGCAAAGAGGGGGTTCAGTGTTACCATAAGCCTTTGCTGTACTTCTCCAAATGTTTCTAGGGGACAGTGTTGAGAAACCCCTTCCCCCGTATTACCTCCACAAGGTGAAGATTGCAGGAAGGTGAGGGAGCAGCTTGGATTCTTCACTGTCCCCTGTGTGGGGAGATACACTAACCCCCAGAGATGACAGCTAAGCCTCTTGCCTTGTCTTTAGTAGCTAATGATCAGAGTGTTTTGTTTTTTTTTAAAACTACATGGTCCCAAGATTCCATCCTGAAATTTATTTTTCTTTGTATGAGTATGTGTAAATGATTTAAAAATGAAACTGTAAAATATTTGTGTGAAGAATAAATTGAACTGATGTGGGTATGAGTTCTGCTGCCTGTTGTGAAGCTGGGGTGGTGGGAGGTGCGTTGGTGTTTGGAGGATGGGTGTTCAGCATTGTTCTTCTTCTGTTTATCTCTCAACTTCTCATTGATATATTGGTTTCCCATCCATGTGTCTAGTAATTACTGAGCACCTAATATTGCTACGTACTCTGGATGAGATGGATAATGTCCCTGTGTTCATGGAGCTTCTGGTTTTGCAGGAGAGACAGATGTTTAATAACCATGAAGTTTTACACTTGTGTTACTACTACGAAGGAAAATATGCAGTGCCATATAATTGTCAGGTGGTTTTGTATTAGGAATAACATGGGAGGATTCTGATAATTTTTCAATGCTTAGGGCTTCTAAAGGCTTTCGTCTTGCTCTGCCTGGTTTTGTCAGGAACTGTATCAAGAGCCCTATCAAGATGTGTATCTATCTTGAGGAAAAATTAAAAAATATAAACAAATATTTATATTTGAAGATAGATGTTCATGGCCACATTAGAAAGGGAAAAAAATTTCTAAAAGAGAACTGGTTCAGTAAATTATCCAGACAGTGAAATATATAGCTGTTTAATTATATTTATGGAACAATTTCCAATGACAATAAATGCTAATGAGAATAAAAAGTTAGCACATTATTTACAGATTATCAAGAAAGAAATGTATTGAAAAGAGAATAAGGAAATAACTCAACATGCTGAAAGTGAAGATTGAGTGATTTTTCCCTTGCTTTGTCATACTTCTCTGTAATTTCTAAGTTTTCTTAGTGTATGTGTAATACTTCTATAGAAAAGAAAATTAAAGAAAACAGCATGGGGGAGGAGGGCGGGAGGCAGCGGTGGCATCTGTGGTCACCTGGGTGATAACGGGGCAGCTGGTGTCCTGGACTCTGAAAGGGTGTGGAGCAAAGCCAGTCCTGGGGGTGGGCCGGGCAGGCTGAGGCAGTGCTTCCACACGGTGTAGACACAAGAAGAAAAAAGTCTGGCTGAGTAAATGCCTTAAGACTTGAGCTAACACCTGGTTTAGGCCAAGTCCCAGGTTTATCTGCTTCACCTGCTTTTGGTAGCATGACGGTGTCCGAGAGGATGCTTTTCTTGCGTGGTTAGTGCTAGGTGCATCTTTTGAACCCAAATCAAATTCAGCCAATATTTATTGAGCTCCACCACATTCCAAGTACTGTTCCAGGAACCAGGGGTACAATTCACAAGGCAGACAAGGTCCCTACTGTCATGGTGTACATATTAGTTGGGGAAGGGACATAATACACAAATGAGTAAAAAAAATTTCAGTTATAGGTGCCATGAAGAAATCAAAATGGCATGATACCCTAGAGAGTAAAGGGGAGAGCTTGTGGGAGCAACATTAGGATGGTCAGGAAAGGCCTTTTTCATGAGGTGGTCTGCGTCACTGGGAGGAGCTGCTATGGGGAGTCCTGGTGGGGAAGCGCTCCAGGTCCTGGGGGCAGGTGTGCGGGCTCTGATCTGGGGCCAGAAGAGCTCTGTGTATTTCAACATGAAGAATGAGGCTGGAGCGTAGTGAACGAGGGGGGTGGGAGTGGTGGCAGGCCTGAACCCTCCCCCAGCCCCAGCCCCCTCTCCCTCTCAGCCAAGCTTCTTCAAGGAGTGGGCCGTGCTCGCTGCCTCCACTCAAGGCCCTTCCATTCACATCTGCCCCGACTGTACTGTTTCCGGCGCTCACCACCCCACTGAAACCGCCTTGCTGAGGTCACCAATGACTCCGCATATTGCCAAAGCCAATGGACACATTTATTTCTGCTCTTACTTGAGCTAACTGTGGCATTTGATCCTGAGGCAGCTCTGCCTCACCTCATTGTGCAGGGTGTGCACTGCGTTATTTTGGGGGTGGGCATTAACAGCCCACATGAATGCTCTGTGGTGCTGCACCGTGCACAGTCTGCGTGGCTGTAGTCAGAGGCCTGCATTGTTGACTGCTCTTCTGTAAACCTCCCCTGCTTCTGTGGTTTCTTCTCTCCTAAGGTTCTACTTCTGTCTCCATTTTGTGTCTCTATCTGCTCCTTAAATGTTCATGTTCCTCAGGGCTCTTGTCCTGCTTTCCTTGCTTTACAGGATCCCTTGGTGGCCTCATCCACACCTGCGGCTATAACTACATTTAAATGCTGATGACAGCCCAGCCTAGGTCTCCAGCCCAGGCTTTAGATACACGATACACTTAATATATTCTTTTCCCTCCACTTGGATGTTCCCAGGCACTTTAAACTCAAATTCAAGACACGAATTTCCTTCCAAAAATCTCATTTCACAAACCTGTGAGTCGAAAACAGTGCGTGGACCTGGACTCCTCCTTATGCCCCTGTAATACTCCTTTAATCACCCAGGGGTGATCTGGAGGGTCTGCTTCGAGACAGCTCACAAAGGTTCTCTGGTCTCTGTGCCTTTATTACTTTTGTTCATGGGCTCATCGTCTTTCTTGGGTTACTGTGATAGCTTCTTGTTTTTTTTCATTTCTTTCACCCTGAACTCCTCATTACTGAAACTGATGTTCTTCTTAAACGTGACATGCCCTCTCCTACCTCTGACTTCTCACAACTGTGCATGATGTTTAGAGGTTTAATCAGTGCCTGTTGAATGCACTGAATGCATACTGAAAATGTGGGTTGAGGAGCCCAGAAATGCCAAAGGAGCTGACCCGTGTGTGGAGATAATATTTTGATTCTCCCCTAACTGGAGAAGATAACTTTAAATTCTTGGTCACTGTACCTTCCTCCCTCAAGGGAAAGTGCCCTGAGACAAAGGTATAGATAGGATGAGTAGTTGCTGGAGGGCTCCACTAAAGCAGAGCACACTCTCCTTCAGAACAAAGCCATGCAATGAGCCAGAAACCCTGCCCAGCTGCTCTTGGTGTGGAAGAGCGAACACAGCTCCTGGAGAGGGATTTCTGCAGGGGTTGGGGTGTGTGTTTCGGAGATTAAAACTATGCAGCTTGGGGGCCGGCCCGGTGGCGCACTGCTATAGTGTGCCGCTTGGGAAGCGCGGCGGCGCTCCCGCCGAGGGTTCGGATCCCACATACAGACCGGTTCCCGCTCACTGGCTGAGCGAGGTGTGGGAGCAACACCGAGGGTTGCGATTCCGTTGCCGGTCCTGGTCCGGTACGGGGGCGACACTGAGGGTTGCGATCCGTTGCCGGACACGGAAAAAGACAAAAAAAAGGAAAAAAAAAAAAACAACTATGCAGCTTGGCAACAGAGCTTGCGAGGAGTTAGTGAGAGGACCCTGAAGCCGCTTGTCAGAAGGGAGGAGTGTGATGAGACAGTAATGGTGGAGAGACCACGTTGGGTATGACTAATTGCTGACTCCCGTGCCCACCACTGGTGCTGCAGATGCCACGGACATCTGAATGAACTGCTTTCTGGTACCTGGTGAAAATCTACACAACTACGACAGTTGTTGAGTAAGGCAAATCATAACTAAAGCCAAAATGTTTCGTTATTTTAGTTATACTAAGTTTCTATTTGTATTGTCAGGGCCAGTGCTCAGACCCTTCAAACCCATTGTACAGACTGGGTCACCAGACCTCTCACACGCAGGTCCATGCTAGGTAATTGGAGAAAGATCCTGGGAGCCATTGGCAGATGACACGAGCTCAGTCCTTAGCAATGGCAGCAGCAGCTTACAGGTCTGGCGGTGGCGGCAGCCTCTTGGAGGGTCCCAGGGGCCCTGGTAGCAACAGCTTGCAGTAACAGCCTCCAGCAGCAGTAGCGGCCTCCCCATGGCTCCCCCGGGGGCATCCTGGGGGTGGGGGGCACTGTGGATCAGAGCCACCCATCCTTTATACTTAAGTCCCTAACCCAGGACACCTGGGCACACATGCACAATTATGGTCCCTAACCCAGGACACCTGGGCACACATGCACAATTATGTTAGACAATAACCAAGGAACACCTGGGCGCACGTGCATATTTACATCAAATGCTCAGCAAGATTATGAACATCTGAGGGGCCCTGACCATTTTCCTATATTTTCCCAACACCTTGGGTGCTGCACCTTTGGTCCTACTTTTATTTGCACAGACTGGGAAGAAGGAGAGTATTGGAACAGAACTCAGCCATGGCCCATGGTGTAGGGAAAATATATTTTGCATAATGATATATCCAACTGCCAAATTCTCTTACAAATTCAGTAGGTTTAATTAATCTGGCAATAGATTCTTTTGGATTTTTTGTAATCATAGATAATTGTACCGTATAAAAACAATGACCTTTTTATTTCATTCTCTTCAGCCGTAATAACTATTATGTCTTTATCTTATCATACTGTACTACCTCGAACCTCCAGCATAAAATTAAACAGTTTGCTCTTGCTCGTACATTCAGTGCTTCTAATTTTTCACCAGTAAGAATGACTTTTGCTGTAATTTTTTGGTAAAAACGGTTCATCAGTTTACAGAAGCTTCTGTTTCCTTTATTTGGTAAGAGTCTTTGTTGTTTGTTTTTTTAAAATCATGAATGTTACATTAAAAAACATGAATAGGTGTTGAATTTAACTTCTTTAGAAATTTTTAGATAAATATAGGCTGATAACTAATTATTTCAGTATCACATTAATCCAAAGTTCTAAAGTTATTTGGGGATTTTAGAAATTATATTGAAGCTGGCATCAATTAGCAATACAATTACTGTTGATAATCCAAATTTATCAGAGACATATGGCATCTCAAAATTTTACCCAGTTGTGTTCTTGGGTAACTTTGTAGTCCACATAATTTGTAGTAATAACTAAGGTTGATTGGAGGCGTGCACTAACACATCTCTTTTGGCCCACACTTGGGCTCATTTTGGAATCATCATCTGCCTTTCACTCCTGAGTTTAATCATCCAGTTCAAGGCACCATTTTTTAAGTTTAAATGCAAAAAATAATCGCAGTCTCTTTGTTTGAATAAATGACCCAACAGGAGCAGAAGAAAACATATCCATGTGGCCCAGTAAGAGGAAGAAAAAATTGACTACAGGACTCCAAAC